ACAGATATAGGTTAAAAAACTTTAAAATAATTAAATAAAGTTAGCATTATTTTGTTACTAAATCCGAGCAACCCAAATTGATTGGAAGATTGTGCTTGCATATATAAGGTGTCCTAATTATTAGGCAAAGCTAGTGCGGATTGCATTTTATGATTAATTTTCATCATCTGATAATATATTTAAGGGTTTGTCTTTCAATCATCTGATAATGCCAACTTTATTTCTGGTGGTTTAGGCCAAGACAAACGTGGAAATATTTTTATTATTTATTCTTTTTCTATTTTTCGAAATGCACATGGGAACAAAATAGGAAGGATTTCAAATTCCAGATATCATGTTTAAGTTTTGAGACCAAGAAGGGAGAGATTATCGAAAAAGGGAGATTATCTTTTATTTAATAATATAACTTAACATTTAATAAATCAAGAAAAGATAAGTGTTACTCATGCTGTAGCTTACATATATAGTTGTTAATAATATAAGTAGTTCAGTGATAATATTCTTTTAATAAAAATAAAAGATTTTAAGTTTGAATTACATAAGATGTGAGTGAGGTGCATTAAGAGATAAGAAAAGATTATCTTTCATTATACAATTTAAGATTAAAAAAACTTATATATAACCTTTTTTTCAACAAGGGCAATATTTTTTTACAAATATTCCTACTATACTACGTAGGATGAGGGAAAGTGATTCTTGAAGAATCAAACATCAAACTCGAGATGGTATTCCCACTAAAGAACAAATGACTAACTAATTGGCTCAAGCATGCAGAACTCTATATATATAACTTGATTTTAAGATGTGCTGTACAACTTTCGAAAATAAAAGAAAATTTCATTGAGTTACTACTAGATCTTTGGTAAAATATTTCCATTTAAACATAGTTAAAACAAGCAAATTTTATAGTCCTATGTCTTAAACAATCTTTTAAAGGTTAAGAGTTTAAACTTTATTTTTAACGGTCTAGTTTGAATGAATAAAAGATTTAAGAAAAGAGGGCGATTATCTCATGGTAAAAAACAGTAAATTTTAATTATAGTTTAACTTTATATTTTGAATTGTATTAAATTGTAAAATAAAAGTTATTAGATTAAGAGTGGATTTGAAGCATACTTCTTATCCTATAATTATGATGGTATAGTCCAATACAATTCTAATTGCATAATACTTTTTCCATAATTTTAACTTGTCATTCATCCAAAAAATTGAGAAATAGGCAGAATATTAAAACAAGTGAGGGAAGGAGGAACATATAAAATATAAAATGACATACATGTTGAGATCTTGATATCTCAACCATTGAAATCAACGTGATAAGTTATGAGGGGTTCATCAAGGAGGTTGGCCTTCCAGTCCCTCATCTATTGTCCTCAAGAGCCTATTTTAAAGTTTAAATTTCGGACCTTTTCCTGTAAAACATCAACATAATATTTGTAATCTCTAACAAGCTGATTCAATATTAAGAATTTGAAATTTCAAATTGAAGGTCTCAAGTTTGCATTTTGAATCGGATAAAAAAAGATTTAAGGAAAAAGGAGAGTTATCTTTTTTTATATAGTCTATTCAAATGTATAACAAAAAATTAACATAATATTTGTTTATCTATATTGTATTGTGTTATTTTGTTATGATTATAATTATTAGTTTTTTTTTTATCTTTTATGATTTTAAAAATATATAAAATATTAAATAAAATTAATAAATTTATATAAAAATGATTAAAAATGAAAATTTTATATTTTTAATTAATGTATAATATGAAATAATATTTAAATTATAAAAAATAATAATTAAGAATTATTAACTATCAGTTATGTACTTTTATTTAGATTGCTAATCTAAACACATTGATCCAAACAAATTCTTCTAGAGTTCAACAACTTTAATTTGTTGTGGATTGCAACTTTGAATTTGTTAGAAAAGTATGGAAACATTGCTTTCTCCATTGACGACATAAACCACAAGATGCAATAATTGACACAAAGATAAAATATAAAACCAAACACGTCACGGAAAGGTAAAGGTGTTCTCAATTTGAGCTAAGGATTTATTAGCGTTTAGGATCCCTTAAAGCTCGTGGGCTACCACCAAATAACGATTGACAGAGACAAGCACCAGAGTTTCTTAATACAAAATTGTAGATTTTTCCTATTATTTTTTTTATTAATCTTTTTCTTTTGTCTTTTTAAATTTGACTGTACAATTCTAAGATGTATTTTATTAAAAGATGCTAGAAAAAATAGTTTTTTTTAAAAAAATTAAAGATATGTTCATTACGTAGTGATTTTTAATAATTTCATTTCATAGGGCAAAATTTTGGATGTTGTAATATTTTTTTTTATTTTAAATTATATAATAAGAGATATATTTTTCTTTTCATTTCTTTCCGTATTTTACTTGTATATTTATGACTTAAACACTCAAATTCATGATCTTTTATTTTTTAAAAAAGAAATTATCAATCATTTTGATTATTGACATGAGTATGTGCTTTTAATTATTTTAAAGTGGCAAATGAGAATCTTGTAAATAAAAGATGGAATTAGTATAGTGCACGTTGTCTTCTCAAAATATTTTTTTCAAAGGATTTGTTCAAAAATTTATGTATTAATTAACATTTTAAAAA